ACACTTGTTAAATGAGTAATTACCTATTTGTGTAGATTAATATAACATACAGAATGTATATATATTTCGCTACTATTTTGAAAGCGGCTATACAATATTATTTTCCCTAATCTATACCCTTTCCTTTACCCTAAGTCCCTCACCCTATTATTTCCTCTACCACATTTAAGGAATGATCATATTTAAAGATCAAGGGAATGAAGTTCAAATTAATGGAAAACAGAATTAGCCGTGATGATGTGTTTTGTTTTGTTTTATTTTTTTTATACCGTTGGAGTGTTGGTGGCATACATTTGATCCCTTACTTTAATTTTGTTGCATGTGCTTGTTGACACATTTTTATATTATAAATGGTGTTCGTCTTTTTTTAGCTTCTTTTTGTCCATATTAGTTAGGCGCGTTAATAGCGATATACTTTCCGTGGAATCCCGCAAATTTTCTTATTGGTGTAGTCGATAACCGAATCGGTAAGCCCCCAAAATCGATAAATCGAAATCGAAAAAATCGAAACCTTATTGAAACGATAACGATAAGCATATATACAAATCGATAATCGATAAGTAATTATCGATAAGGGTCAAAATCGAATCGATAAATCGAATGCACTTTTTAGCTAATCCCCAAATTCTTTATATAGTCAGTACTAAATATTCTTTAGTGAATTTCACTCTTTAGCTAATCCCCAAATTCTTTATATAGTCAGTACTAAATATTCTTTATTCCTCAGATATGTTCTTAATTTCCTTAAGGTTTCTATTTTAAGTACCTCTGTTCCTTCCTATTTTTATCTCACTATTATTTTAGTCGTTAGACTAAACGACGCCGTTAGAATAAACAAATCAAAATCTCTAAATCACTAAATGGTCAAAATCGATCCCTCTGCTCTCAATTGCTCATTCCTCACGCAGACAAAGAAAAAACCTAGAATTTTGGTCTCTATCTTCTCCAATCTCTCTGCCTCTCTGCATAAATCACTGAAGTTTGGGGTTAGGAACTTGGAAGTTCTGGTTGCTCTCTCTCTCTCTCTCTCGGCGCTATTCAGTATTCACAACAGCTCCATTACTCCATTTTTGTGGTTAGAACTTAGAAACTCTTGTCTAATTGTCTTTTCTTTTCTGTTTTTGTTTCAAAGTTTTAGTTTTCAGTATTCACACCAGTTTTAGTTTTTCTCTTTCTGATTTTTGGTTTGGTACTGTGGTTAAAAAGGGTTTACTCAAGAGATTTGAGCCTAAATAGATGTGAGCACATGATTTTTATCCTATATTGCATTATTTTGCATATTTAATTTCCATTAAAAATCAAAAAATACCATGCATTGCATTTAGATTTTGTTCCCATTTTAGGATTAATTAATTAGTTAGTTGCTTTATTAAAAAATGAAAATCACAAAAATGGCTCATTTTTACATTCTTAGCTTTAAAATTTTGGGTTATTAAGTTTTCTCTTTTAATTTAGGATCAACTAATTTTAATAAATATTATGGTTAGATAATTAGCTTAATTTTACAATTTGAATTAATTTAGGAACTTAATTTAGATTTTTAATTAATTAAAAAAAGAGAAAAAAAACAAAAGAAATGGAAATTGAAAAAAAAAAGCTGATTTTAAATTGAATTGGGCCACACATTTTAGAAGCCCAAGTTTTCCCCCAACCCAACCCAACCCAAACCGGGTCGACCCGACCCGACCCAACACCCAAACCCTATTCTTCTAATATAATAAGCCTAAAAGACGCTAGGGATACATTCGGAAGGAGAGACCGTAGCGCCGCAACAGTGCAAAACGGAACCCTACCCTCTCGTTCATCATCTTCTTGAAGCAGCCATCTATGGCTTTTTGCTGAACGAAATAACAGACCCCCCTCCCCCAGGAGTTCATCTTCTCCATTAGAGCTAATAGACGAAGACCCTAGGAGACGAACAGACACAAAAAACGCCAAAAATCTGAAAGGCATTGAGCGAGAAAAACTGAGCGCGGAGCTCTTTCTTCTTCAAGAGAACGGGAAGCTGCTGCTGCTTCTTGATGAAGTCATAGCCATTTCTGATTTGAGAACACAGCACCCCTCCTCGTCTCAGTTTCTTCTTCTTCACTTCACAACCAAAAAGTTCCTTCAACACAACGAACCAACCAAACTTCAACTCCAAATCGCTACTCCCTGTCATGGAGTTTGTCGATTTTGTTTTCCTGGTTTAGTTCGAGTTCTCCGGTGAGTTTCGAGGTCGCCAAGGTTCCGGTATCGGTTCAAGGATCAGGTCGTTAGCTCGTTTTGGTCTGCTGCGTCGGAAACTTTCTTCGTTGTATACGTTGAAAAATATGCAGAAATAAAGGTCTGTTTTCTATTGTTAAATTTGGATCTTCATTTCCAGTTCATATCCCACAATGAGATTCTCGTTAGATGTATTAGATATAAAATCACATGCTAGTTCTTATACCTACTGAAGCAAATTGTAGTTAACTCCATTTTTTTTGTTTTGGTTATTAATGCAAATTGTACGTATATGATCATGTATTGGAGAAATCGCATCTCTGAGCTTGTTTGGATTTGACATAGCCTTAGAATGCCTTGAAAATCAGCAAGAGTTAGACGTGTAAACTGTTGTATGACATAGTTAATGCTAAATTGATTCCTGTCATATAACAATGGTTCATTTTATTTTGTGACTTTAGCTTCCCATAATTCTTTCCTTCTTTGGGTGAATTCAATGCTTATTTGTTTGGATACTCCATTCAACAGGTTGTTGTGGTTGTTAAGAGTCAGTCGTGGGGTAATGGTGGAAGGACAAGCTACTAGTAATTAAACGGTTTACATATTTTAGGATTGGGCTTGGTCAAATGCATGAACTAGGAAGTTAAAAGGACACGAACATGAAACCTCTTTTAGAGAAAGCGCTTCATAATTTATGGCCCTCAAAAGTTTAGTTTAAACATCCTTTGAAATTAGAATCGAGGTGTGCCATTAGTTGAATTTTCCATGGCCCTCGCAAAATTAAAAACGCGTAGTTGCTTTAGGCGCGTTATTTTAATAAATTACCTTCCTAAATTCGGGTGCACATTTGTGACCCAAATTTAAATCTTAATAACGTTGGATAAAATGTGTTTCGGATTGCGGGTGCATTTCATGTGACGCGGTCCAAAGACATGTTTTAGACGACGTTAAATCTTCTTTAAAATAAATAAAAGCGGTTTTTGAAGTTAAAAATGCACGTAGGTTTGAACATGTACTAAAATCAGTTAATAAGCCAATAATAACAGTTGAGCGACTGTGCTAGAACCACGGAACTCGGGAATGCCTAACACCTTCTCCCGGGTTAACAGAATTCTTTACCTGGATTTTGGTTCGCAGACTGTTTATCAGAGTCAATCTTTTCCTCGATTCGGGATTTGAACCGGTGACTTGGGACACCATAAGTCTCCCAAGTGGCGACTCTGAATCTTTTAATAATATAATCTCGTTTCGATTGTCCTTTAATTGGAAAAGCTCCACTTATTATATCCCTGTCGGGGGTGTAGTAAAAAGGAGGTGTGACGATAGAAACTAATGGATATAGAATATTCATGTAGCGCCCGGCTAGTTTAGGTGTACTTGATTGATACATAGATTGAGATCTCTTTTTTGTTTGGTATAGGGGTGGGGGCACTTTCTGTCCACGGGATTGTTGTGCAACAGTTTTAGAATACTATGCTAATCCTATCATCTGGAAAAATAAATTAGTAAATTATTTGAATCCAAGTTTAACACGGGTTCGAAGTTGTTTTAAGCAGCTTCCATTTAGTATAAGTGCATGAACGGGTTCATTGAGAAAAGACTTGTGTGTTCATGTAGATATAAGTGAGACTTCAGAGAATTCTAATTTGCCATAAAAAGCAAAAAATTTAGTATTGGAGTGAGATGAGCCTAATTTTAAATAGAGCTTAATGGCTGCAAAATATTCATATAGATGCACTGCTAGAATGGAATTGAGGTGTACTTGATTGGTACTTCATACATTCAGGGAATTGAAGTTGCAATGAACTTGTTGAAATTTTAAAATAAAGTACCAAAAATAACTTCGGCTTCTCAAAATCAATCTACCAAAATAAGTAGAATCTCTTTACGACGCTTCTTTATATTAGTTTGCATTTATCCAATTGTTTGTATTATTACCTGTATTTTTATAATTTAGCTCGATATCACGTTGTTTGATTTAAATTTTTCGGTGCACCTACTTGTTGAGATTTTTTTTTTTGTTCAAGTTTGAACACCCTTGAAAAATTTTCTAGCTTCGCCATTGAATTTAAAGCAGGTTACGGAGTTGAAAAGTTTGAAATTTGAAGGGGGGGGGGGTGACAGTATTTTTGGGCCCTTGTAATTGATTTTGGGCTATTAATTATACCTATTGTCATTAGTTTTTTTCGGATTGTTATAAATGAAGTTTGCTCAATTTTTTGTAAAAATAACACGGGTTAGTCAGTTTTCAAACTGGTCATTCAAAAATAGCCAGCGTTTGCAAAGTCATTAAAAAATAACCACTATTTTGCTACAACAGGAACCGGTCCAGCATAATATACTGAAGATCGGTGCACATGTGTACATATGCTGGAACTCCAACACGCGGAAAGTTCCAGCATAATATACTTGAGATTGAAGCACCTGTGTGTGAACTTCCAGTGTATTATACTGGACCGATATATTATACTTGAACTCCAGTGTATTATGCTGGAGTTCCAATATACTTATGCTGGAACTCCATTATAATATGCTGGAGTTCCAGTATACTTATGATGGAATATACTGGAGTATTTTTCGGATTTTAAACAGTGTTTTCGTTCAGATTTATCTTTACATGAAAAATGGTTAAATTTCAATTATTTTTGAAACTGTAGCTATTTTTGAACGACCACCTGTAAATTTGGCTATTTTTTAATCGGAAAAGGTCCAAATATGCCCGTTAACTATGCGAAATAGGACAAATATGCCCGTCGTTATTAGTTCGGCCCAAATCGTCCAATAGTTGTGCATATATGCCCTTCGGAAAAGGGTCGAAAATGCCCTTAACGTATTAGAAATGGTTTAATTTGCCCTCCTTCCACATATTGGTCTAAAAATACCCCCAAAGTTTATTCGAATTAAAAATGCCCCTCATTTTAACGGAAGTATGAGATGGCGTATGTGGGGCTTTTAATTAAATAGGTGGCATTGATTTATTGGTCCACGTGGATAGTAGACCCATCCATAATTAACCCGACCCATATGAAGTAAATCCAAAATCCAAACCCCTTCCTCCTTACTGGAAATTGGCGACTGGTAATTTTCTGACGAACAGTAATTTGGTGCAAGTTTGGAATGAAGAAGAAAATAGGAAAACAAACAATACTTGAAAGTCACGAAAATGGGTAAGTAGTCACCATTGACAGCCATGTTACCTTCGTGAAACTCGAGGAGAGGGAGTAAATGAATCAGTGATAAGCACAAATGGATCCCAACTACTATGGATCTCATCTAGTTGATAAGTTATGAATAACACGTCAATAAATAAGTTTACTAGTTTAGTTTGCTAAAAAAGATGTAATGGTACTACGATGTAGTAGCTGAGGAAGATATTTACATCTAAGAGAAAAGTCTAATGTGAAAAATAAGAAAAAGGAAGAGATACTTTCATAACTTGTTTATTCAATATACACTAGAACCCTATTTGTAGGCGTTAGACTCAACATATATAAAGATTTGTCAATGTGTGAGAATATCCAACTAAAGAACTTAATTCTTTCAAAATTCTAACACTGGCACTTAACTATTCTCACATGCCTGCTAAGGTTGAAAACCAGTTTGAGTTTATTTATGGTTAAAAACATAAAAAGATTCAATAGGCATCACAAAACTTGCTGAAAATAGTCAGAAAAAGTTTGGTCACTTGGAATTTATTGAAAAAGTGGGGAAAGAGGTGATATTGCCAGGAACTACCGCTAGAAAAGAGAGCACGGTGCAGTCAAGGCAGGGAGCTTGGAACAGAATGTTTTTGTCCCATAGCATGTCCATCACATGCTCCCCCTCCAGTACCAAACACAGAGCATGCGGCGCATGCTCATCGCGAGGGAGGTCTGGGTTCAGCTCATCACAACAGCATGCAGTTATTGGAACTTGGATTCCTGGTACGGACATGACTCCAGGCAAAAATTCAGAATAATGAAATAGTTGGGTTCTTGATTGCCCACGTGAGCACTTGAAAAGAGGATAGTTTCATATGTGGACCTTAAGGTAGAGGTTAGTTAAGAGGACACGAGTGTATGTTACAATCAAGATTATGATATATTAGGTGATATGCAGGCAGGAAATTAGAAGACTACAAAGGCGTAAAAGACAAACTTGGAAATTTCATATGTGAGTAAATGACGATGCATGTACCACAAACTTCAACATTGTGGCTGCTTGCAAACTGAGATTAACTAGCTTTACCTTTTCAGCCAAGCCAACTACCAAGTATACTTGATAGTAAACAACTTCTTAGGCTCACTGCCACAAGTCCACAACCATAGTTTCAGGGATGATTTGTTCAGAACACATGAAAGAGCCTTTCAGTAAATTTATCTTATAACCACATTGGGACAGCCCTTAACAGTGACATGAGCCAATTTTTGCAGATTTTCCAAAGTAATTAATCCCGGTACCCATTCCTCAAGCCAAGTGAAACAAAGAAGACTACCCATGCTTCATCTTTTCACCATGATGTCAGCACCAACTTAGAGGTCTTCACACCATCAGCTTAGAAGAGTATGCATGCAGTGCAAGCACCACCACGACTATTTTCTATATAAAAATGCTTTATCTATTCTCTGTACCTAAATGTACTATATATTAGAGGGAAGAAAAAAATATGTACGGTTATGAAATTATTCAATAATAATGTAATTCTATTAATTACATAGTTGTTCCATATGTTGCAGTGTACGAGAATGAAATTTTGCATCGATCTTGAACACGATTAAGTTTATTCTACCAACAACTTAAATCGGTGTTTCCAGAAACATGTTTCCATTCTTATCATATTTATAAAATTTCAAGACCCCATTGGATCTATGATAGGATCGTTTATTTACAACGGAATGGTATACAAAGTCAACAGATCTCAATGAATACAATAGGATTTATGGCTACATAAACTATTGAAAACAGTTCTAGATCTGGTCCAAGACGAACTGCGGTAGGAGATTTATTAAAACCATTGAATTCGGAATATGGCAAAGTAGCTCCTGGGTGGGCACTCGAAGATGCACATTTGGGGATTCGACGGAGTGTTCAAAAATCAGCTGCGTCAAGTTCATAAGAAAAGGCTCACAAGACTATTTACCAAGCAGAACAAAGAACTTGAAAATTTTGCAAACCTGTCGATAGTCAGGAGCTCGTTTTGGAAGTTTAAGATAAGCCATGTTCATCATCTCATAATCCTAAAGAAAGGATGTATGATGGATCCAACGGCCTTTTGTGATAGATTGAGCATTTCCCCCAAACTTGCGGTTGCCAAAAACGTAGTCTGTGATCATGTAAAAAAAAATATGAAGTTGGATGTCTTAGAAAGCTGGTGAGCAAGACATAAAACAAGGATTCCTCAAGTTATATCTTCGTGTGAGCAAAAGAGAAAGAACAAAAAATAAAGGACAAAACAAGCAGTCAGACAGATATCAAGACGGGGCAAGAGAATGGAGGGGAGATAGTATTCACAATTCTTTTAAGGCCAAGTAACACAATGTACATAGAAATGGGAACCAACTGCACAGAGAAGAAAGAATGCAATATTGCTAACAAGAAGAAATAAGAAAACAGAAAAGGAAGCATCCAATCCAATGAATGGCACTTTTCTTGTCAGGAAGTTAGTTAGAAAGTGTGTGAACCTTATCTACCACAAATAATTAAATCCACATAAAAGGAAGCTCTCTTGATGAGTGCAGCGTAATAGCATTGTTAGTCTGACACTCAACCTTGGTTTTTAGCACCAGTACATGCATAAATACATTGTCAGCCAATTGAAACTTCTATTTTTGTTTTTTGATTAGTCAAATAAATTTTAACAATATCAAACTAACTCAGTGTCACAAATATATAGATAGAGAAATATATAGTGCAAAAATATCATACAGCAAGTATAAGCAAGTATTTCCTACATAACAAAGTTTAAAAGCAAGTTCGTTTTTTCGACATAAAAGCAAGGTTACACTTTTTTTTTTGGGGGGGGGGGGGGTTTGGTTCTTGAAGAAAACCTGCAGCTCTTCCTGCAAAAAACTGGACAGTCAACAATGAAAATAATCCTGGAGCAGAAAAGTATCATTTTCACGAAGAGAGAAATCCCCAACTCCTTGAAACACCTTGCTATAGAGTTGGTTGCTCCATGACATGATGGGCCTAAGATATGGTTGTACAGTAGGGACAACATCCTTATTGCATATGAAGGAGATGAAAATTGTCCTGTGATCGACTATTACAGTGCCTCCTCCAATAAACCTCTTTACTACTGGAATCTTGTCTTGCAAAAGAGAACCGATTTCAAGAAGTTCAGCTGGTTTTCTGTGACAATGGTTAATGTTGTTATACAATTAACTCAATTAGAGACATACAACAAAAAATGTCCTATCATTACGGCCATGGCATACATTAAGTACTCGTAACTTCTTGCATCAATTGTAAGCTGATAGATCAGAACTTGCACAATAGCAGTGCGGTTAATACTGATAGCTTAGCTCCAAAGAATATACAGCCTAAAGAATATCAGATAGTGGAAAAACTAGCCTCGTTATCGGTGTCTTTATGACACACATATGTTAAATTGCTTTAGGTTCGTATTTTTCGAATCCCCTTCCTGGCTCCACCATTTCCCACAAGCACTATATAGTTTAAAGATGGTGAAAGATTAATTAGTGAAGCAGAAGGAAAATGCAAATCCAATCGTCAAAACAAGTTGTATAATGAACCCGCCAATAAAAACAATCAAGAAACAATTCTAGCAAAAGTACTACTATGGAAAAAAAGAGTCATACCATAAAAAAGGGTGAAAATTGATAGCTCATCCTGAAATACCCATGACAATTGTGGGTTCATTGGTTCCATCATTTACAATGCACCAGTTTTGAGGTGAAGTCCTGAGCAACCGTTCCTCCAAATGCAGTTGCTGCAGAATTGGCACTCCCTTAAATTGAACAACATTCATCAATGGCACCCCACATATTTCTGAACTCATCGCAACTAAAACAATCTATACGCTAACAGCTGAACTGGGTCTTTGACTCTTTTCCCAATTTCACCAGAAAACCTACAATTGTGTACTTTCTCGACAATTTAAAGGATCAATGTTATCCACGAGTGTCACCACAGACCCACTCAAGGAATTCATAAATCTCCCTCTTCTTCTCTTTTCAAAGACCAGCCTCCTCTCTCTATCTCGCACTTGTTCTTCGCCTGAAACACATATCCAAAATTATTATTTCACCTAAAATGACCAGTAATTGATTTCGAGCTATAAGGTGGGGAAGCAATAGCTGAGGTAGATATGATCAACGGGCAAAGGGAGGTGATGCGATCTAGCTTTGTTGGAGGAGTTGGGAAATAAAGGAGCAGCCAAAGACAGGAACCTAGAAAAGAATAGAAGCAAGCCTACCATATTTACTTTGGCATTGAATACAAACGGCCAACGGGAAGACTTGACAATTTTGGATTAGAGTTCTATATGTAATAAGAGAAACTAAAAAAGGGAAAAAGTGCAAATATGCCCGTGAACTATGCGAAATAGGACAAATATGCCCGTCGTTATTAGTCCGGCCCAAATATGTCCAAACCGTCCAATAGTTGTGCATATATGCCCTTATTAGACGGAACCAACATTTTTTTTCTTTTTTTAATTATCTAATACCAAACCCAACCTAAATCTACCGACCCGACCATACCTTCCCCTAATTCTAAAAGACCCAAACTTAATCCCCTAAAATAGATGCTCCCCAGCCCTAAAACAAGCGCTCCCCACCCCTAAAACGGACGCTCTTCTTCCTTCTGTCATCTTCTTCCTAAATCCCAACTAGGGTTCTTCTTCTCTCTCCTCTTTCTTTCTTTTATGCTTTAATTTTTCAATCCAACAAGCTGTTTCCTTCTTGTTTGATCCACTCACTTTCCTCTCTTACTTCTTTCATTTGCTTTGAAATGTCGGAGCATCTATAACGGCCTGTTCAATGCTGTTCTCTCTCTTTTCCTTCGCTGTCAATTCGATTACTTTCTCTGTGCAGTAACAAATCAGTTCTCTGTTCCTTAGGAGCACCATATCCATAAAACTTTGGTTTGAGTTTTATTACTCCTTTAAACTTTACAATTGGTGCATGAGCAAATAATTTTTGACATATTACACACTGAAAAATCTTAAAATCTAAAGTACTCAAAGGTGTGGCCTAGTGGTCAATCAAGTGGGTGGAAAACGATGAGCTTAGGTTCAAATCTGAGGGTGGACATACCCTATTAACATTAACATATTATAGAAGAGTGTGCCCTTTCGTTATTGTTGCCAAATCTCAGGAAATCCATGTATATATTCAGATGCGCTTGTTATCTTTTATGACATGAGATGGCCGACTAGCATATTAAGGGCGTTTGATCTTTAAAACATGGTTTTATGGAAATTAGCATGTTTTATGCACGCTTTTTTGGTGTAGTTAGTGTTTAGAAATAAAGGAGAACGTAAGTTTAAATTAAAAGTGACGGTTGGAAGTGCCTTTTCAGTTTTCAAGATAGTTATACTCGCTCCATTCATTTTTAGTTGTTCACCTTTGACATTGTGCTCTCTTTAAAAAAATGAGAAATGTATTTTACAATAGTATTTCAAAAAGTATTGACAAATAATTTTGGCATTGAGTAGTTAATGATAAGTATACATAAAATAAGAAAAAGCGTCCTTTTCTTGATCGTGGTGATGCTCCTCCACAGCAGTAGTAGAGTCATGGGGATGCTCCTTTAAAGACTCAAACAACTCAACAATTCTAGTAACTGGTCGGGTCGGGTCGGGTCGGGGCGGTAGATTTAGGTCGGGTTTGGTATTAGATAATTAAAAAAAGAAAAAAATTATGGTTCCGTCTAATAAGGGCATATATGCACAACTATTGGGCAGTTTGGACATATTTGAGCCGGACTAATAACGACTGTCATATTTGTCCTATTTCGCATAGTTCACGGGCATATTTGGACTTTTTCCCTTTTTTAATTTCTCTTATTACATATAGAACTCTAATCCAAAATTGTCAAGTCTTCCCGTTGGCCGTTTGTATTTAATGCCAAAGTAAATATGGTAGGCTTGCTTCTATTCTTTTCTAGGTTCCTGTCTTTGGATGCTCCTTTATTTCCCAACTCCTCCAACAAAGCTAGATCGCATCACCTCCCTCTGCCCGTTGATCATATCTACCTCATCTATTGCTTCCCCACCTTATAACTCGAAATCAATTACTGGTCATTTTAGGTGAAATAATAGTTTTGGATACGTGTTTTCAGGCGAAGAACAAGTGCGAGATAGAGAGAGGAGGCTGGTCTTTGAAAAGAGAAGAAGAGGGAGATTTATGTATTCCTTGAGTGGGTCTGTGCTGACACTCGTGGATAACATTGATCCTTGAAATTGTCGAGAAAGTACACAATTGTAGGTTTTCTGGTGAAATTGCGAAGAGAGTCAAAGACCCAGTTCAGCTGTTAGCGTACAGATTGTTTTAGTTGCGATGAGTTCAGGAAATGTGGGGCGGCTGCCATTGATGAATGTTGTTAAATTTAATGGAGTGCCAATTCTGCAGCAATTGCATTTGGAGGAACGGTTGCTCAGGACTTCACCTCAAAACTGGTGCATTGTAAATGATGGAACCAATGAACCCACAATTGTCATGGGTATTTCAGGGTGAGTTATCAATTTTCACTTTTTTTTATGGTATGACTCTTTTTTTCCATAGTAGTACTTTTGCTAGAATTGTTTCTTGATTGTTTTTATTGGCGGGTTCATTATACAACTTGTTTTGACAATTGGATTTGCACTTTCCTTCTGCTTCACTAATTAATCTTTCACCATCTTTAAACTATATAGTGCTTGTGGAAAATGGTGGAGCCAGGAAGGGGATTCGAAAAATACGAACCTAAAGCAATTTAACATATGTGTGTCATAAAGACACCGATAACGAGGCCAATTTTTTCATTTTTTGATATTGTTTAGGCTGTATATTCTTTGGAGCTAAGCTATCAGTATTAATTGCACTGCTGTTGTGCAAGTTCTGATCTATCAGCTTACAATTGATGCAAGAAGTTACGAGTACTTGATGTATGCCATGACCGTTATGATAGGGCAGTTTTTGTTGTATGTGTCTAATTGAGTTAATTGTATAACAACATTAACCATTGTCACAGAAAACCAGCTGAACTTCTTGAAATCGGTTCTGTTTTGCAAGACAAGATTCCAGTAGTAAAGAGGTTTACTGGAGGAGGCACTGTAATAGTCGATCACAGGACAATTTTCATCTCCTTCATATGCAATAAGGATGCTGTCCCTACTGTACAACCATATCCTAGGCCCATCATGTCATGGAGCAGCCAACTCTATAGCAAGGTGTTTCAAGGAGTTGGGGATTTCTCTCTTCGTGAAAATGGTACTTTTCTGCTCCAGGATTATTTTCATTGTTGACTGTCTAGCTTTTTGCGGGAGGAGCTGCAGGTTCTCTTCAAGAACCAACCCTCCCCCCCCCCCCCCCACCCCACCCCCACCCCAAAAAAAAAGTGTAACCTTGCTTTTATTTCGAAAAAAGGGACTTGCTTTCAAACTTTGTTATGGTGGAAATACTTGCTTATACTTGTTGTATGGTATTTGTGCACTATATATTTCTCTATCTATATATTTGTGATACTGAGTTAGTTTGATATTGTTGAAATTTATTTGACTAATCAAAAAACAAAAATAGAAGTTTCAATTGGCTGACAATGTATATTTGCATGTACTGGTGCTAAAAACCAAGGTTGAGTGTCAGACTAACAATGCTATTACGCTGCACTCATCAAGGGAGCTTCCTTTTATGTGGATTTAATTATTTGTGGTAGATAAGGTTCACACACTTTCTAACTAACTTCCTGACAAGAAAAGTGCCATTCATTGGATTGGATGCTTCCTTTTTTGTTTTCTTATTTCTTCTTGTTAGCAATATTGTATTCTTTCTTCTCTATGCAGTTGGTTCCCATTTCTATGTACATTGTGTTACTTGGCCTTAAAAGAATTATGAATACTACCTCCCCCATTCTCTTGCCCTGTCTTGATATCCGTCTGACTGCTTGATTTGTCCTTTATTTTTTGTTCTTTCTCTTTTTTGCTCACACGGAGATATGACTTGAGGAATCCTTGTTTTATGTCTTGCTCACCAGCTTTCTAAGACATCCAACTTCATATTGTTTCTTACGTGATCATAGACTACGTTTTTGGCAACCGCAAGTTTGGGGGAAATGCTCAATCTATCACAAAAGGCCGTTGGATCCATCATACATCCTTTCTTTGGGATTATGAGATGATGAACATGGCTTATCTCAAACTTCCAAAACGAGCTCCTGACTATCGACAGGTTTGCAAAATTTTCAAGTTCTTTGTTCTGCTTGGTAAATAGTCTTGTGAGCCTTTTTTTATGAACTTGACGCAGCTGATTTTTGAACACTCTATTTCTGGAAACACCGATTTAAGTTGTTGGCAGAATAAACTTAATTGTGTTCAAGATCGATGCAAAATTTCATTCTCGTACACTGCAACATATGGAACAACTATGTAATTAATATAATTACATTATTATTGAATAATTTCATAACCGTACATATTTTTCGCTTCCCTCTAATATATAGTACATTTAGGTACAGAGAATAGATAAAGCATTTTCATATAGAAAATAGTCGTGGTGGTGCTTGCACTGCATGCATACTCTTCTAAGCTGATGGTGTGAAGACCTCTAAGTTGGTGCTGACATCATGGTGAAAAGATGAAGCATGGGTAGTCTTCTCTGTTTCACTTGGCTTGAGGAATGGGTACTGAGATTAATTACTTCGGAAAATCTGCAAAAATGGGCTCATGTCACTGTTAAGGGCTGTCCCAATGTGGTTATAAGATAAATTTACTGAAAGGCTCTTTCATGTGTTTTGAACAAATCATCCCTGAAACTATGGTTGTGGACTTGTGGCAGTGAGCCTAAGAAGTTGTTTACTATCAAGTATACTTGGTAGTTGGCTTGGCTGAAAAGGTAAAGCTAGTTAATCTCAGTTTGCAAGCAGCCACAATGTTGAAGTCTGTGGTACATGCATCGTCATTTACTCACATATGAAATTTCCAAGTTTGTCTTTTACGCCTTTGTAGTCTTCTAATTTCCTGCATGCATATCACCTAATATATCATAATCTTGATTGTAACATACACTCGTGTCCTCTTAACTAACCTCTTCCTTAAGGTCCACATATGAAACTATCCTCTTTTCAAGTGCTCACGTGGGCAATCAAGAACCCAACTATTTCATTATTCTGAATTTTTGCCTGGAGTAATGTCCGTACCAGGAATCCAAGTTCCAATAACTGCATGATATTGTGATGAGCTGAACCCAGACCTCCCTCGCGATGAGCATGCGCCGCATGCTCTGTGTTTGGTACTGGAGGGGGAGCATGTGATGGACATGCTATGGGACCAAAACATTCTGTTCCAGGCTCCCTGCCTTGACTGCACCGTGCTCTCTTTTCTAGCGATAGTTCCTGGCAATATCACCTCTTTCGGGTCATTTTCCAACAGCCACTTTTTCAATAAATTCCAAGTGACCAAACTTTTTCTGACTATTTTCAGCAAGTTTTGTGATGCCTATTGAATCTTTTTATGTTTTTAACCATAAATAAACTCAAACTGGTTTTCAACCTTAGCGGGCATGTGAGAATAGTTAAGTGCCAGTGTTAGAATTTTGAAAGAATTAAGTTCTTTAGTTGGATATTCTCACACATTGACAAATCTTTATATATGTTGAGTCTGACACCTACAAATAGGGTTCTAGTATATATTGAATAAACAAGTTATCAAAGTATCTCTTCCTTTTTCTTATTTTTCACATTAGACTTTTCTCTTAGATGTAAATGTCTTCCTCAGCTGCTACACCGTAGTACCATTATATCTTTTTAGCAAACTAAACTAGTAAACTTATTTATTGACGTGTTATTCATAACTTATCAACTAGATGAGATCCACAGTAGTTGGGATCCATTTGTGCTTATCACTGATTCATTTACTCCCTCTCCTGGAGTGCTTGTCCTATTTTTCTTTATGATATTCAAGTGATATAATCTTTGGCTAATAATTCTCACAATAATTTTCTTCAGTGTTAAGTTGGAAAACTTACATTTATCTGTATTCTTTTTCGTAAATTCTAAATGTCTGAATGTCATTTAAATAAGAATTTTTTATAAATCCACTTAACTCAATCTAATGTATAATCATATAATTGTAACAAATATTATTAAGGGAAAACAGGAAGATAACTTCTACTTATTATATGAGATCCACTGGGGTCAGAGCCTACTTATGCCTGTACCAAGGTCTCGAATGGGAAGTTGATGAGTTCCTTATGTGCAAGATAACTAAAGCTATCCATGATCTTATCTTATGGAATGTCGTGTCTAAACAATGCCTTTTGAGGTTCTAGTAGCTAAAGTAAATATGGAGGACCTCTTGTTTGCCTGTTATGTTTGGAGCCTCCTGGTCATCTCTATGGTGCATTCACTCTAGGCTCTAACACTGTTAACTCACTAGGAGCCTGAGTATTCTGTGGCTTGAAGGTTTCTAGCCAGATTCGTCCCTGGAGGCCTTCTAAGCCACTGTCTCGACTTCTGGACGTAGAGAACATTTAGTCTAGTATAAGCAACTGGTGATAAAACCTATTCCCAGTTCGATCTTGATCAGTCATTTTTTTAGAAATGGTAGTCAACGCAATCTGATGTGTCTGAACATTCTCCAACATCCAGGTCATGCTCTTGCTTTCACCTCTTCGAAAGGACGTAACATATTCCCAATCCTAGCGACAGTCGGTGCTTTCTTTGGTAAAGTATTCCACAGAGTATCAAAGTAACAAAAAGTTGTTTCTTTCATGAGCTTCCTTACTGTACTCTAACTCTGTCATTTGATGTCTCTCAACCCTGCTCTCATTTCTGCTTATAGTACTTTTCCAGCTTATTTCACTTTAATACCTCCACATGCTTTTTAGATGGCTTTGCGAACTTGAACTTCTTAGTATTTACCAGTGTTTTTCAGTCGAATTATGCATGCCATGGAAGTCTTATAGCTGAGAGAGACTGCAACATGACAATTACACCTAAGTTCTTTGGCTTGAAGGGATCTTTTATGCTTGAACTTCAAGTTGAGTATAAAATATTCTCATGGTGAAGTCTTGCTATGGTTTCTCCATGGAATTATGCATGTCATGACAAACTTATAGCTGAGCAAGACTGCAGCATGATAATTACACCTATGTTCTTTGGCTTGAAGGGTGTCTTTATGTGTGAACTTCTAGTGAGTTAAATATTCTCATGCTGAAGCCTTGTTCCTATTTTACTCTCATTTGTTACTTCATACTTGACAATATGCCATTTTGGCTCATGAGATACTTCACTACTTTTTTATTTGTACAAGTTACTTTTGCATTGAACATTAGTAATTTGCTTGCTTTAGTCTCTGATGGAGAGTTTGCTTACTGGTTATTCAGGCAAGAGACCATTCAGACTTTATCTGCCGCATGAAGGATTATATATACTCGGCAAGAATTCATAAATAGAACCATATCTNCATGAGAGTATTTTTGTTGGATTGGGCTCCTAATCTGGTTGTGGTTGCCTACCTCCAACTCATTCATGTTGCTACTTCCACGGATAAAAATACTAGGAGGAAGTGCTACCTTTTACCATTGTGCGTTACAGGGGGCATAATTAAGCTAATGAATTTTCTTGGAAAGAACTTATTCCCAAAAGAAGTTAAGAAGATGTAATGAAATTAAGACATTTCAGACAACAGAATGAGGGAAGAAATAGGAAAATGATGGAGTTTGAAGGAAGCTGATGGGAATCAGTATACCAAATGACAGTGGTAGCAGATGTATTAGTGAATCGTGGTTGGATTAATTATATGAAATGACAAGTGGAAAGAATGTAATGGTGGTGAAGACTGTTTAGAAGGAGTGTTGAGAGTAAGCTTGGGCTGCTCTGTATCCTCCTAAACAAATCATGGAATTCGGTCTAATTCCCTGCTACATCTTTCCATGATTTTCTGAGTGAAGCCTTAATATCATATATTTTAGCTTTTCTACTTAGCAAAACTACAACGTGGTTGGGGAGTACAATCTACACTCATTTACTCGTATTTTTGTGTCAACAATGGCTTCATTCACAATCACTGAAGCGGTATTCTATCTTTATGATGGAAAGTTCTTTGTTGACTTTCATGCAGATCATTCGATCAGATACGAACCAGAAAGGTTGAAATTATGAGGTTGTAATTAATATGTCTTTGTGCTGCAGGGTGTGTATGTTTTCCAGTATACTCAAATATCTATGATCCTTTTCTCAAGTGAATCAAGTACTTTTTCCATCACAAGTAAACCTAGTTGTTTGACAGTAAAGAGACACTACGGTAAATTACATTTCCAATGGCTAAATAACTCTATTACTAATGAAGAAACCCGGGATTATAGATATCCACAATGATTACCAAACTACTTCCACACTTTGTTTAAAATCTTACAATTCTTTCCTTTCATGATGTTAAGAAATTACTTTTGAAAAATGTCTTGTGCTTCTGACGTTTCTTACTCTTAACTGAAGTCTTAAATCAATTAGCCAGTTAGGTGCCACATTCTTTTTAATGAAATATCTGGCTGCAGAGGAAGACTACTACTAAATCAAGCATCCTCATCTCATAATGTTTTTTTTTTCTTTTTACCGATCTGCAGTAATTGGTATTCTTGCTAGACGGTTCTTCTTTTGGTTATCATAGAATTTTGAATGTTAAATTATGCATATCTGGTTTTTCTCATCATTGGAATATTAGCATGTTCAGCATTGTCCGTTAAGTGATTTTCTTTGAAGTTATTACCCGAGATATAATAGATAATTTCAGTTGATGTGAATCTTGCGACTCCAAAACTGCTTTGTTTGTTTCGTTCTGATATAGACTACAAATTACCTAGGGAAATTTGAGTGCTCTGTTGTTATGATCTTAACTGTGCTTATATATATATACTTTTGGTTCAGCATTTACTGTAAAAGTACTTCTTTCACAAAGTTGTGTCTCCTGCACTAATGGTAGCTAACCTTTTACCTCATCTGCCCCTGACTTTGGAAGTATAAATAAGTAATCAAGCTCAAGATTTTCAGGGAACACAAAAGAAAAAAGAAGAGTCGAAAAGAGGGGCGGAGCCCCATTAAGGGAACGCAAAAGAAAAAAGAAGAGTCCAAAAGAGGGGTAGAGGCAAATTATTAGTTACAGGTTACAAATTTTATAACTTTTTCTTATGTATTTATACTAGGAATTCTTTAATATATAAAATACATAAGTTACCCCCTGAACTTTGGACCAAATCCCTGTTACACACTTTCTGATCACGAAAATCATCTTACACACTCAACTTTTTCGGAGTGTGTCTAACACACACCTCTTTGCCTACGTGGCAAGCGCGTGTTTTACAAACAAAATGATGCATCTGCACAGTAAGAAATTATGTCCGATATTTTATTTAAACGGTTCAGATTTAGTGAAATTTATCCAACGATTACAATAAAATTTCTTTCTTTCTTTCCTTTTTTTTAGTTTCTTTCTTTTTTATTTTTCTAAACTAATCCACCACCTACCCGTCGAGAGCCCATCCAGACCTCTCCATCGTCCACCACTGATGCTCCACAACTTCTCCACCATCCTAAAATCAATCAATACTCACATGTCGAAAAATTGCCATACCTTCACCATTGAAGCACCTTTTTCTCTTCTCTTCCTTTTTTCCCTTACACCTGTTGGGGGCAACCATGAAGGAACGCACTTACCATTATATACCATTGGAGAGGGTTGTAGGTTTGCTTAAGAAGAACCAATATTCTAGTACACTTAATTGTTTTTGGCGTTTGGATCAAATTTTAATAAGTTTTATGCAAAAGATTCCAAGATTTGGTACTGGAATTTTGTATCTCGAAAATATTTAGAAATTAGAAGCTAGGAGCATTTGATGATGTTAAGAAATTACTTTTGAAAAATGTCTTGTGCTTCTGACGTTTCTTACTCTTAACTGAAGTCTTAAATCAATTAGCCAGTTAGGTGCCACATTCTTTTTAATGAAATATCTGGCTGCAGAGGAAGACTACTACTAAATCAAGCATCCTCATCTCATAATATTTTTTTTTTCTTTTTACCGATCTGCAGTAATTGGTATTCTTGCTAGACGGTTCTTCTTTTGGTTATCATAGAATTTTGAATGTTAAATTATGCATATCTGGTTTTTGTCATCATTGAAATCTTAGCCTGTTCAGCATTGTCCGTTAAGTGATTTTCTTTGAAGTTATTACCCGAGATATAACAGATAATTTCAGTTGATGTGAATCTTGCGACTCCAAAACTGCTTTGTTTGTTTCGTTCTGATATAGACTACAAATTACCTAGGGAAATTTGAGTGCTCTGTTGTTGTGATCTTAACTGTGCTTATATATATATACTTTTGGTTCAGCANATATATATATATATATATATAATTACGAATCTTATAACTAAAGCGAATTATGACAATTTCAAAACCAATAAACTTTAAAATCTAACTGGCGTCTCATTCAAAGGGAATCAGTTAGTAGTAGTATTCAAAAAAAAAAAAAATCCTGAAAACTTTCCAAAGAATGGAATCAAAGAAAGTCAGCAATATGAAAACTCTTCTTCGTTTATGCTTAAAATATACATACAAGTAGCAGCCAGTACTGTAGCTCAACGGCTGCTATTTGTATTATTCTCTTTATTTTATTTCATTTTATATAGAGCTAGAGTATAGCTTACCCAAACCTTATAGTTTTAGTTCAAACTGGAAACAAATTAGCTATAACTTAGAAACAAACTGATAACTTAGAAATAAATTGATTTAGCACGATCATACATAGAATCAAGCGAAGCTACTAGTCGCGGACTAATAGAGGTGAACGAAACATGACAACGATAAACACAAATAGCTTCAACGAAGAAAAACCAGTTCAACTGTTATAGTTTATTCTAATACTCAAATTAATTTTGAACATGTAAAAGCAATCAATTAGTTAAAATTGCAAATTGATAAAGGTTTCGTACCTTATAACAATGAAATTTCTAACCACAGGCATTTTGAATTCAAACAGTACATGGTACAGCTGATTCAGTCCACAGGGAAATATGTGGGTCTATCTTATGAAGATCCGCAGAGGCACATTCAAAATTTCTTGGAAATTACGGATACCTACAATTATCCGAACGTTTCCAAGGACTATGTCAGGTTGACACTTTTTCCCCTTTCACTGCTGGGGGAAGCTAAGGAATGGTTGCAAAAGGAGCCCGCGAACTCAATCCACACTTGGGATGATCTAGCAAGGAAATTCTTAATCAAGTTTTTCTCCACTAAGAAGACAAAGTCATTGAGGAGTTAGATTCTTGGGTTCGAACAACGGGATGGCGAGACACTTCGTCAAGCATGGGAAAGATACAAGAAGCTACTCAGAGACTGTCCACATCATTGTCAGACTGATGAGGTATTGGGTCACCTTTTGTTGATGGGCTAGATGATGCATCAAAGATGAATCTTGATTCAACTTGTGGAGGTAGTTGCATGGCTAGACCATACAGTGAAATCCAACTCTTGCTAAATAACTTCACTGCTAATGATCATAATTGGAAAGGAGATGGGGATTCACGAAGGAAATTAAACAGAAGGCAGCCGGGTTGATTGAGCTTGATGACTTCTTATCTATGAGAGACGATATAGCAAAATTGTCAAATCAGATTAACAGAATGACAATGCAACAAACATAACTGATGCAACATGTCAACAAATGTCTATTTGCTGCGAACTATGTGGCGACAATCATATGAGTGACATGTGCCCCACGAATCCTGAATACTATGTGGGGCAACAGAGCAAAGGTCTAATGAATCAGAATGCACAATATGGGAACACTTAAAACCCAAATTGGAAGAATCATCCCAACTTCTCATGGGGTGGAAATCAGCCGCATCAAAATCATTATAGACCCCAAGGAAATTTCAATCAACCTCAGAACCCACCCAACAAACAGAAGAGAGTACGAATGACTTGCTGAAGAAGTTGTTGCTTGACAATCAACAGCTCAGGACCGATTTTAGAAATCTTGAGAGGCAAATGGGGCAGTTAGCAGTAAATCAAAATACTAGACCTGCTGGAGCTCTCCCGAGTGATACTGAGCCTAATCCTAAGGCTCAAGTCAATGCGGTTACCTTGAGAAATGGAAGAGAATTAGAAGAAGTTCCAGAGAAAAAGAAGTATACAGCTAGACCTGAAGGAGAATTAGTTCCTAAACCCGTTGAGGAGAATAAGAAAGAAAAGCCGAAAATTGTGACAAGGCCACCACCTCCGTTTTCACAAAGACTTCAAAAGCAAAAAGATGATGCTATGTACAATAAATTCTTAGATATTTTAAGCCAAGTGCGTGTGAATTTGCCGTTGGTGGAAATTTTGCAGGAAGCGCCTAAGTATGCAAGGTATCTTAGGGATATTGTGGCAAACAAGCAAAGACATACAGAGTTTAAAACAAGTGCACTTACTGAAGAGTGCAGTGCTAGAGTTCAGAGTAAACTTCCTCCTAAGTTGAAGGATCCTGGGTGTTTCACAATTCATCTGTCTCTCGGAAAACAAGATGTTGGTAGAGCCCTGTGTGATTTAGGGGCTAGTATAAATTTGATGTCATCCTCTTTGTTCAAGCAACTTGGATTGGGGGTGCTTAAACCTACTACAATCACTTTGCAGTTGGTTGATAGATCACTAGTTATGCTAGAAGGAATTATTGAGGATGTGTTAGTTCGAGTGGGAAAGTTTATTTTTCCTGTTGATTTTATTGTTCTTGATTACGAGGCAGATGAGGAAGTACCTATTATTATGGGGCGACCATTCTTAGCTACTGGAGAGCACTTATTGATGTTAGGGAAGGGAAGTTGAAGATGAGAGTTGGCGATGAGGAAATCACTTTTAAAGTGTACAAGGGCTTGTGCATGATTACTGTGGTAGAACTGAAGGGGATAAAACAAAGTCCTTATGCGAATTGTGCATGATTACTATGGTAGAACTGAAGGGGATAAAACAAAGTCCTTATGCGAATTGTAGTGATTCGGATGGGACAATTGAATTGGAGGAGGTGGTGTTGCAAGCTGAGTGTGTAAGGATGATTGAGAAAAGAGCCAGAGATGAAAGAGGAGACCTTCTGAGAGTGTGTAAAAAGGCTAGGCTTAATGGGAGAAAGAAGAAGAGAAAGCACCCAGCCTGAACAGAGTAGCAGTGTCGTGCGGCGATGTTAAATCAGGCGCCTGTTGGGAGGCAACCCATCTTTACTGTTTTCTTTTAGTTTTTATTTTCTTATTATTGTTGTAGTATTTGTTTTTGTTTTGTAGGATTATAAGAATAGGAAGCGTAGCCATTGGAAGAGTGCAAAAGCGAGTTAGATGGTGAGAACTAAGTGTGGGGTGCCACACAAAGGACGATGCCTGGGGGTAGTGATCACGCCCAACTCTAGTCCTAAAAAGGATAAGCGGTCGCTGCAAATATAATCCGGTCTAAAAGTCCGGAGTCGAATCCCACAGAGAACTAAGGCTTAGCTGTATTTGTTTAATATCACCAAGAAGACAAGATTGAAAATAAACAAACAGCTGAAAACTAACTATGCTTGAATTGTAAACAATTAGAATAAAGGTCTAAGGTAATGGTTTCCCCCTTTGTTGATTTCCTTGGTTGTATATTTTTTATAGCTGTGACTTAGCTGCCTCTATCAATCATGAACTCTCCAGCTATCATAAATCTCTCTCAAACAATTATGATAATTTACTAGACGCACTCTCTCAAGCTACGCTAGCTAGATTCACATTACAGTTCACTTAGATTGCACCCGAGGTATCGTTATCTCTAATCCAACCTCTAAACCCTCGGTTATGACTCTCGTCTATACTCCGGGAGTGATGTTGTTCAAACAACTACCTAAATATGCACTCTCTCTCAAGCAGATACATAATAAATAGGAACGGCTAATTGAGGATCCTTTCAATTAACCAAAATCAAAACGTAGTTGAACAAATAGAGATTAACAACCAACTCAAAACTATATTAATATAACAACCAATTCATCCCCAACGGGTTTCACCAAAACCTTAGATAACAAATTAGCTATTCATAATAGTATGTAAAACTACAATATCAAAAGTCATAACCAACAATGAAAAATAAGAAGAGGAAGGAAAAACTTGTTGAAGAATTCCCCGCCTTTCTCTTCTTGTGTATTTGCCTCCTTAGGTCAAATATGTGCCAAAAATATGTCCAACCCTCAAAAATACCATTTTTCCATGTATATATACCAAGTAGGGTCAGGCCCAAAAAATTATACCTTCTCCTACGCGAAAAAGGACAATATTTCACGTCTGCACTGCCGCGGCCGCGGCGTGGACTGCAGAAGGCACTGCCTCAAACCGCGGCGCGGACCGCGGTGAACTTTCTACCACATTTTCACCCTGTTCCGTTTGAAATTTGGAAAAACGTAAAACATGAAAGTTGTAGCCCTTTGAGTTAGCTTTCCAACCATATATTGTGGAGCCCAAATGGAGTTCTGAGCAAAAAGTTATGTCTATTTTACAGCTCGGAATCACTCCTACAAGGCATAAAACACACCGTTAGTGCAAAACACTAGTGATTAAAGCGCAAACTCAATTAAAGTGCAGTAAATTAGAGTGTAATAAGTGACTAAAATACGTAATTATAGCCTATCATCAACACCCCACACTTAAACCATTGCTCGCCCTCGAGCAATCAAACTACAACTTTTTTTTATAGACACGACCTTTTTAAACAATTCTCCTAACTCATCACACCAAGAGTAGTTAAAATAGACTAAGCACAAAAACGTAACATCTTCACCTCAAAATTTGACTCACAAGTACCAAGCATTATTCACAACTCACCCACTTACTCTAACATAGAGGTCACTGACATTACCTTGTCTTCATGAATCAAGTGCCCTCACACAACACAAGAGAGTAGTTCCACACAATAAAATTTAAGAACACTTAGGAACTCAAGATAGAAAGAATTCACTCACTCTCAGAAATAACATTCATATGCCACAAAAGTTGCACCATAATCTTGCCCGTAGTGTATTACTCCACTAATCGAGCTCATTCAATCTTGGATCAATTAGGACTTTATTTGGTTGTAATGTAGGCTACGAGACGGGTATGATACATTTAGATATAAGAGTGACTACACCTCCCTAAGCACTTTAATACATACATTTTAACATTTAAACCTCATACTTATGTCAAACCAAAATTCCACCTTCACATCAATGTAAATTACCCCATTCTTCTTTAAGAACACTTACGTCAAGAGCCACCACTTATCAAGGATTTTTTTTCCACAACAATCCAACTATGTTTTTTTTTTCAATTCAAGTGGCTCTTCCTTTTTCAAAATAGTGCACCTTTCTCCTTATTCAATTAGTTCCACTCAAAAGCCAAACCAACCACCCCGGTGACGACCGCGGTGAACTTTCTACCGCATTTTTCACCCTGTTCCGTTTGAAATTTGGAAAAACGTAAAACATGAAAGTTGTAGACCTTTGGGTAGCTTTCCAACCATATATTATGGAGCCCAAATGGAGTTCTGAGCAAAACGTTATGTCTATTTTACTAGACAGTGCGCAATATGCCTCGAGTCTTCGTTTGTTCTCAACTATAAAATTTGACCCCCGAACACGATCCCGGCTTAATTCCTTGAGCTTTTACTCAGACTTCAAAGCTTCAAATCACTTAAATTCATTCCATAACACTTATATAGCTCGGAATCACTCCTACAAGGTATAAAATACACCGTTAGTGCAAAACACTAGCGATTAAAGCGCAAACTCAATTAAAGTGCAGTAAATTAGAGTGTAATAAGCGACTACAATACATAATTATAGCCTATCATTAGGAAGTCTGAGTACCTCGTGAGCTGCTATTGCTTCGGCCTTTGGCCTATCAGGGAGTCTCTTTTACCCTCTTGTTATTATAATGTGCATTGAGGACATTGCATAATTTTAAGTGTGGGGTGAGGAGATTTTTTGGGTGAGTTTCTGTGCTAGCGTAGCTTAGTACTCGTTCTTAGTGTAGAGTTTTTGCTTAAAAAAAATAGAAAATTGGACTTTTGTCACGACCCCAAATACCGGTTGTGATGGCGCCTATCACAGTACTAGGCAAGCCGACAACCCCTATTCCACAACTGATTTATCAACATCATTAAGCCATTTTTCTAACACCAGTTTTAGAAACAAAATTCTTTATAAGCGTGATAAATAGAAATGCGCGGAAAAACGAAATAGGAAATACGACACAGCCCCGACAATCTGGTGTCACGAGTCTAGAGCCTCTAATACACAACAGAATATCTAGTACATCAAGTCTAGGAATGCAAAAAAGATAATAAGACAGAAAGGAAGAATCAGGGCTGCGGACGCCATGCAGCTACCTCGAAACTCCCGGCAAGAACTGGATAGCAGCTTTAGCTCTCACTCCGCCCCTCGGGCACTTAGATCTAGGGGTGTGCATTCGATTTATCGATTCGATTTTGACCCTTATCGATAATTACTTATCGATTATCGATTTGTACATATGCTTATCGTTACCGTTTCAATAAGGTTTCGATTTTTTCGATTTCGATTTATCGATTTTTGGGGTTTATCGATTCGGTTATCGATTACACCAATAAGAAAATTTGCAGGATTCTACGGAAAGTATATCGCTATAAACACGCCTAACTAATATGGACCAAAAGAATCTAAAATAAGACGAACACCGTTTATAACATAAAAATTGTGTCAACAAGCACATGCAACGAAACTAAAGTAAGGGATCAAATGTATGCCACCAACACTCCAACGGTATAAAAAAAAATACATCATTACGGCTAATTCTATTTTCCATTAATTTGAACTTCATTCCCTTGAGCTTTAAATATGATCATTCCTTAAATGTGGTAGATGAAATAATAGGGTTAGGGACTTAGGGTAAAGGAAAGGGTATTATAGAATAAGTGTAAAAAAAAAAAAAATTAATTTTTTTTCAGTATTTCTTATCGGTTTATCGATTATCGATAAACCGAAGAGGACAAATCGAAATCGATAACTCGATAAGGAAAATTTCAAAATCGAAATCGAAATCGATAAATCGATAAACCGATATCGATAAATCGATAACAAATAATCGATTCGATTTATCAATAAACCGATTCGAATGCACACCCCTAATGCACACAAGGTGCAGGGAGTAACGTGAGTACGCCAACTCAGTAAGTAACTAAAGTAAATAAAGACTAAAGATAGTGACGAGCAGTTAAAACATAATATCTGAAAATATCAACAGGGTAATAGCTCAGCTTTGTAGTTTAAAACCAGTTTCGTCACCAAAAATATACACTGTCAGCTTAAAGTTTGAAATCATATAATTAGCAATATTTTCCAACAGAGGCTAGGTTTGAAAGAAGAGTGAAACAGCGTGACAAGGCCTCTCGGGCAAGGAATCACTCAAATATGGCCTCTCAGGCAGCCTCTCGGTCACTCGGGACTCATCTCTCGTCACTTAGTACTCATTCTCATCACTCAACTCATATATCCCTCATAATAACAGAAATCATATATCACTACGGCGTGCAGCCCGATCCATATAGATAGTCGATTGCGCTCACTGGGGGTGTGCAGACTCTGGAGGGGCTCTTACAGCCCAAGCGCTATATTGCTGCGGCATGCAGCCCGATCCATAATATATATATATATATATATTATATATATATATAATATATATATATATATATAGATATTAATTAAATTTAAAAATTCCTCACCGTTTGGGTTGCATCACCCCTCTCAGTTCATAAACCTCACAGCCTTTCGGGCACAATAATAGAGGTGGGATCTCACCCACAAACCCCTCATTTAGGAATATATGCATAAGACCTCTAAATCCTATTTAAACAGCATAAAAGAATGGAACTACGAGGATATGAATTTTAACGAAGTAAAGTGAGTGAAAATCAGTCAAAAAGGCCCTAAAGGGTTCTACAGTCCAAGGCACAGCCCGAACATGGATACAGCGCCAAATCACCTAATAATAAATGATGAAACATTAGAATAATATAGATTTTCAATCAATTACTGCGGCTTAATAGTCCTACGGCACGGACTAAGTCGACAATCCCTACGTGTGCAATTCACACGCTCGTCACCAGCCTAAGCTTAGATGTCGCGTCACG